AATATACTACAAGCTATAGTAACAAAGAAAGTACAGTACTGGCATGAAAACAGACACATAGGCCAAAGGAGCAGAATAGAGAGCCCAGAAATGAATCTATGCATTTAAAGGTAACAGATTTTGGACAAAAGTACAAGAAAACACAATGGGGAAAGGACAGTTTCTTCAATAAATGGTACTGAAAAAATTGGATGTCTACATGGAGAACAATGAAATGGGGCCCTCATTTCAGAGCATATATAAAAATTAACTCAAAATGCATTAACTGCTTAAATGTAAGACCTGAAACTCTAAAACTACTACAAGAAAAAACAGGGTGATAGCTTCATGACAGTCATCTGAACAATGCTTTTCTGTGTTTAACCTCAAAATACTGGATAACAAAAGGAAAAAAATGTACAAATGAGATTACTTCAAACTAAAACATTTCTACACACAGCAACAGATACAGTCAAAAGAATGACGAGACAACACAGAATTGGGAGAAAATATGTGTAAATCATACACCTGACAAGGGATTAATATCCAAAATATAAGGAATCTCAACTATAAAACAAAAATCCAATAACTACTTAAAAATGTGTAACAGACCTATATAGACATTTCACAAATGAAAGAAGACATAAAAATGGCCAACAGATAGAAGAAAAATTTCTCCACATCAATGATTATCAGAGAAATACAAATCTAAGCCACTATAACAACTCACTCTTGTTAGAATGACTATAATTAAAAATACAAAAGATAGTAGGTGTTGGAAAAAAGTGGAGAAAAGGGAACATTTCCATGCTGTTCGTGTAAATGTAAATCAGTACACACATTATAAAAAAGTATTATAAAAAGTATGGAGATTACTCAAAAAAATTAAAAATAAAACCACCATATAATACAGCAGTCATATTATTGAGTATTTATCAAAAAAAATGAAATCAGTATGTTGAAGAGACATCTGCACTCCCATATTTATTGCAGGCATATTCACAATAACCAAGATACAGAATCTACTCAAGTATCCATTAGTGAATTAATGGATAAAGAAAATGTAGTATATAAACACAATGGAATACTACTTAGCCATAAAAAATCCTGTAATTTTTTTGTCACATGGAAGAAACTGGAGATGTTAATTAAAATGAGCAACATACAGAAGTATAAACACCCCATGATTTCACTCATATGTGGAATCTAAAAAAGAGTTTATCTCATTGAAGTAGAGAGTAGAATGATGTTACCTGAGGGTGGGGTTCTTAGAAGGGAGGGGGATTTGGGGAGATGTCTGTCCAAGGATACATATTTACATTAGATAGGAGGAATAAGCTCAACAGATCTCAACAGATCTATTGTAAAGACTGGTGATTATAGTTAATGATATATTGTATCTTTGAAAAATGCTAAGACAATTGATGTTAAGTGTTTGCAGCACAAAAAAGGTAACCGTAATGCCTGGCTTTAAAGCTTCATGGGCATGGTGGCTCACGCCAGTAATCCTAGCACTCTGGGAGGCCAAGGTGGGTGGATCATTTGAGCTCAGGAGTTCGAGACCAGCCTGAGCAAGAGGGAGACCCTGTCTCTCCTAAAAATAGAAAGAAATTGGCCAAACAACTAAAAATAGAAAAAATTAGCCGGGCACAGTGGCGCATGCCTGTAGTCCCAGCTACCTGGGAGGCTGAGGGAGGAGGAATGCTTGAGCCCAGGAGTTTGAGGTTGCTGTGAGCTAGGATGAGGCCACAGCACTCTAGCCAAGGCAACAGAGTGAGACTCTGTCTCAAAAAA